TATATATATATATATATATATATATATATATATATATATATATATATATATATGGGCCTATTCAAGAGAGAACTGAGTTTTTTGTGGTAACTGTAAGAACCAATCTCAACCAATCATTTTAACATATTAATTATACAATTAAAATCAAATTAAAATGGTATGTTAGTCAATTCCTAATTTAGAATTAAATTTTAATTTTTTAAATGCAACCGTTTCAAATAAAATAAATTAATATTGATTTACATTCCTAAAATAAAATATTAATATCATTTAGTGAAATAATTTCAAAAAAATAAATACATTTGTGTAAACATGTTCATTATTCTGATGAATCACATGAAATCATATATATTTGTTGAAAATTGTATCCATAATATTTAAGAAATGTTATCACAATGTATCACACCAATTTGTACTAATGTTGTTAATACATCTGCAGATTTTATGTAGCAGAGGTGTTGTTACCACAATGTAGCACAAATTGATTATCACAAATTGATTATCACAATGTCCAGTCAAATATTATTACAAAGGCTAAATGTTATCATAATGTATCACACCATTTTCCAATAGATTATCATCAACATTAAATGTACCATAATGTAGCACAAATTGAGATTACTCTAGGGCTTAAGGCAATCGTCTCCATCTCAAATACAGGAAAGTATCTTCACTATATTTGGATTCCAATTGAACAAGAATATTAACGTACAAAATGACCATCTTGCTCTTGTTCATATAATGTCATTAAATGACAGTAATTTATTTATAGAAATACATTAATTAAGATTCTTTTTAATCATACTCATTGATTATTATAATATGTGGTTGAGATTGGTTCTCACAGTTACCACAAATAATTCAGTTCTCATTTGATTAAGTCCATATATATATATATATATATATATATATATATATATATATATAGTAATTCAGATATATACAAAAAGAAAGAATGGGTGAATGTATGTGAAATTTCATGGAAGTTGCATGAATATTCCTTTGGGAAAAGGCATTTTAAGAACACACCAACAAACATAAATTGAGAAGCACAAATGAGAAGCACAAATGAGAAGCACATTACGACATTAAGAAAAAGCTACAAGAAATACAACACCACAGAAACCATGCACAACAAAAGTAACAACAATTATATATATACTGATCTTGTCTATATATAAAAAGGAAAGACTATATTCATCCATCAAGTGCTGTAATCCATGAGTTTTAGTAAAACTAAATCTAGGATTTCCAACACCCTTCTTGCATATAGAGATTTGGCAAGCTGGTTTCTTGATTAGGGCTTCCAAACTGAAGCCCAGACAACTGGTTCTTCTTTCCAAGCCAAGTAGATTCCTGAATCTATGTTCGAACTAGTTTGATCGACGGCAAGAGACCATCCGGTTCGATACCTTCTAAGCAAGGAGTTTAAGTCGTCCACAACATCATCACTAAACCCTAGTGGGGAAAATCGCGTCTTGAGCCTCTCGCACCATTGGCTTCCTTTCTCCCTCCTCTCGCATTCTCCTAAGTTCATAATCTCTTTGTCATCACAAGACAACACCCTAACGATGCTCCTTGAGCAGCCTCTCTCCAAAATCAATCGCTCATTACTCGTGGGAGTAAAGCTCTCTTCCAACATCTCGAAGTACAAAGTGTAGAACCTTAAGCATTCTGCAAAGCAGTTAATGAAGTCACTTCTGGTGCTTGTAAAATCGGCTTCTTCTTCAACTATGGTCACCACTCGAGGCTTTAAAGAGCTGAATAGCTTAATCACATCACCCCTTTCTTCAACCTCAACTCTTGTTAAACCACCGATACAATTCACTGCGATTGTTTCATTCACCTCGACGCCTAACTCTTCTTTAGTAAGTTGTCCTAATGTTTGATTTGATTTGGTGCAGATTACCTTAAACTCGAAGGGAACACCCATCAAATGAGCAAATTTATCCATTCTTTGAGCGATTTCTTTCATTAAAGATCTCGCCATGATGTTTGTGACCACCACAGTGAGTTTTAGGCTCGGAGTTTGGTTGCTTCGAGTGGCTAAAGCTTCCAGCAAAGTAGGCCATTGGGTGCACAGTGTGTTACTTACATCAATTATGTGAAGTTTTGTCTCTCCATCAAAGGCCTCCAAAATAGCACCGTTGCATGCAACACGACCAAAAGTAGTCCAAGGGGAAACCTCCTGGAATTTAAGTACGAGATTTCTAGCAGAATCAAAGCAGCAGTTGCTCTTGTCAGCAACTGAGACTAACTTCTTGTAGCATCCTTGCCCAGACTCCATAACCTTGCAAAAGAGAGCTTTCATGAAGTACGAAGCTAGTTTCTGATCAAAATCACCGTAGGATGAAGCAAGCTCGTTTAACATCCATAGAAGGTGGTGGATCTTTGCAGAATCCTTTTGGGAGATGGCATGAGCACACTCTTGAAGAAGTCTGTAAGCCCACTTATCCCCATCATCGGAATATTCAAAGGATGTATAGCTGCTTTTTCCTTTGCTTGTGGTTTGAATTTTTCGGTGGTTGGTGTAGGGTGAGAAGCGTTTTCTCTTCATTGAAATCTTGTCCATGAATACGAGTTCTTTAGTCTTGCCACCTGTTCACCTTTTGATCCTAATCCGAATACGGCTTGGTTGCCTTTTCACTTCTTCTTCTCAACATCTATATTTTAGTAAAAGTTAAAAGGGTTTTATCTTTTACTTTACTTTTTTTTTTGAACAACACACACGTATGTATATATATATATATGTATGTATATATATATATATGTATGTATATATATGTGAGTATATGTATATATATATATATGTGTGTATATGTATATATGTATGGGGAAGGGTTCAAAAGAGAACATCTTTATTTTACAAGAACGCAGGAACATTTTTTTATTATAGACAATCACATGTGATACTATTATTTCATCACATATGATACGCATGATACTAAATTATTGACGTGGGCGATTTTTGCTGCGATCTTGGTTGCGGGCCAAGTCGTCCTTACACCACTAAGTCTCATCACAAGTATTATCACATGTGATAAAATTGTTGTTGATATGATACTATAATCCATCATGACCATCACATGTGATGTCAAATCATAGACGCAGACAACCTTTGGTCCGGCTTAAGTCGTAGAACATGTCGTTCACACATCGCAGGGTCCCCTCATGCATATTATCACATGTGATAAAGGTGTTCTCGCGTTCTCGTAAAATGGAGGTATTCTCGTTTGAACCTACACATACACACACACACACACACACACACACATATATATATATATATATATATCCATCCAGCCTCCGAATGAGATATAATGTAACCGACTCCTGCGTAAGAAAACCCTAACACCGATTCAATTGGGACCGACTCCTTTTTAGTTAGGTGTTGTGTGACGAAGTTACTACTTTTAACACATGAGATAATAAAAAGGGTAGTGAAAAATGGATTTGGCTTCTTATGGTATTGATGAAAATTATGATTCTTAAGTACAAAAAGATATTTGTGGCATAAGTTTTATTTTGGTTTTTATTTTGTCATTAATGGTTATTAACTTCAAGACATTATGTCCCTATATATTGGAGTAATATGGTCATTTCAACCTCCAACTTAAATATGACGAGGTAATAAAATGGATTAGTACTAAGAGTTGTTCGGTTAATTTTCTATTAAGCTTTATATGGATAAAAATGTTTGTATTGATAAAGTTGTCTATATAATAATAGATAAGTTGTTCTTCGATTATTGTGTTTATAAGCAGTTTGAATGTCAGTAATAACCATTTTATCCCAGTCTAACAATGACAAACCATAGCTAGAAATCGAAAACATATTTGATTAGAACATGAAAAAACCAAAAATCCATCTAGAAATCGTAAAAATATAGGGAAATCAAAAAATATAAGGAAAAACCATGGGAAGAACAAACCACGAGAATTCCAAAATAACCATTTCAATCTTCTTCAAAATCCTTCTCCACTTATCAATCCTCAATCCTTTGGAATCCTTCCATCTCATCTCACTATTTCCGGGATTAAACCCATCATAGCAAAATAAACCAAAAGTCACATCGAGACCTAATCTGCATCCAAAAAATCAAAAGCCACATCAAGACCTAATATGCATCCAAAAAACCAAAAGCTACACCTTGGATTCACCAAACCAAATCGAATGCACCTACAAATCAAACATCAAGAGCTAATCTCCATCTGATAGTCACAACTTTGGTTCCATATTTTTATTATTACAATTTTGACTTTATAGGTAATCATCTAAACTTCTAAAATAGAAATCCTTGCCATCCATATTTTATAGGTAGCCATCCAAACTTCAAATACATATTACAGTGTTCGAAAACAACAGGAAAAAATCGGTATCACAACAGGAAATCGAATCACGTCTTATAGGGTTCGAAAACCACAGGTTGAAATGAGTATCACAACCAGAACTCGAATCACGGCTAATAGGGTTCGAAAACCACAAGAAGAAGCTGAACTTGGTGGAGAAATCGGTATCATAGGATGAACTGACACTGAGCTTGGTGGAGAAGCTTATTGGAATTCAAAATATCTTCCATATATAACTCATCTTGATTACCTTGTGTCTAGCCTAATTTGTTGCTAGTTTCCTTCCTTTGTCGTGCATAGTTTTGTATTTAAGCATTGCTTTCCTTTGTAATGTTCATCAGAAAAATATATACAATCTCTTTGAGCTATAGAATTTAAAATGGTATCGGAGTAGGCTTGACCCAAAAACACCAAACCTAAACCGCCGCCACCCTTGTCCATGTCCGGCGACAAAAAAAACCCCAATCCTGGCTCGAAACATGAAACCGGTCCTGATAGAAACTCACCCCTCTACATACATGTTTCGAATTATCCGAAACAAATGCATGTCAACGACGTTCTCACCGACAACTATGTCGATTGGTCACAGGGGATGATGAACTTCTTGTTTGCCCAAAACAAAGTCGGCTTCGTCGATGGGTACATAAAGAAACCGGAGAAGACTGCTATAAATTATATGATGTGGATGCGTTGTGTGACAATCCATCATTTCAGAATTTCAGGTTAGCACCTTATTTTAGGACCTTTATCGAGAAATTAGTCTTTCTAGGATTTAGCTATGATGATTAGAGAACGTCTCGCTTAATTCCCAAGATTAGTTCGGAAGATCACGTTTCGGCGGATAACTGACAAAGTTAACTTGTGCAATGCCAAATAGTCTTGAAATGCTCCAAATAAAATAAAGTTGATATTTTAAGTTTTGTATTTAAGAATTTAAAAATTTTCAAAGTCCCATTTTATTGGCCAAATATGCTATTAAATGGTGGAATTTTAAAATCTTATATCAAGTTGTTTTGTTTAGATAAGTTATAGTGGGGTTTTATTATTTAGAAATATAAAAATATTTTGGGATTGGGCCTTTAGAGGCCATCCCATTTCTTCTCTAAAAAGCCTTCATATTAATACTCATCTTCCTTTGAAAACTCTCATTTTCCAACTCCCAACTTAACTTGTCATCTCCCTCTAAACTCGACCACCTTCCAGCCGATTCTATCTTCTCGCAAGTCTTAAAGGATTCTGTTACTCTTATGGATTGTTCAAGATTCTAAGAAAATGTATGATTTTGAGCTGTCCTATTTTCATAAAAATCCGAAAGTTTTCATCATTCTTCACCTACTCGATTCTTTAGTGAATTTATGGGATTTAAAGATGGGAGATTGTTCATCAAAGACCTGCAAATGTCTTCGAWAGGRTGATAATCTGTGATCCATGTTCTTTAATCTCTAAGAAAGTAGGAGAGAATCCTTGCATGTGAGGTCTGATCATATTTTATGTATGATAGGATCTTGCATGCATCTTTAATTAGTTTTATTATCTTTAAAACTCGATGAAATCGGAAAATATTTTTCTGGAGTTTGTTCGAAGATGATGACTCAAGCTGGAGTTTAAATTCTTGAAAATGATGAGTTTGAGACCCCTCCCCAYCATTGYTGTCATTCTTGGTGCATGCAATCTGTTTTGGGGGCGTGTGTCTCAAGGTTGTAAAGTATTTAAGAAGAGTCTCAAACCCACTCAAAAATTCTTGATTTTTTCATTAGGTGGATTTTTGGAAGGTTCCTTTTGAAAAGTAAATATTAAAATATCGGCTTTTATTTTATAAAAACCTTGATGGCATTGCATTAAAAGCAACTATGTTTTACCTTGGGCAAGAAACCCTTAAGTAATTTAGCGTTGGATATTGGTCTGTTCAGGAAGTTCGGGCGAGCCTAGAAGGCTTCTAAGGGCAACCTCTGGATATTCATCAAATTAGTGAGTTCTCATGGCCCCACTTTTAATGCTTTATTTATTGTTTTGGGGGAAAAGCATGAAATTGAGCAAACTTTGCATGTTTATTAATGTGAAACCTTGGGACTAAGGAACTGCTTAGTCAAGTTTTTGTTTAAAACCATTGGACTAAGGAACTGCTTAGTCAAGCTCAGTTTGAAACCTCTGGACTAAGGAACTGCTTAGTCGGGTTTACTATGTTTTGTTTTGTTAACTGTTATTGTACTTGGAATAAATGCTAAATTGATGTGCTTGGGAGTATATTTTCCAAATAAAAGTCCCCGTTCATAAACGCTACTTGTTAACTCGGGTACATCCCCGGGCCGTGGTATTGTGGATAGCCGCTATTATGTTGACAGTCCCACCCAGAAAGGGGTGCACATTACCTACGTTTTTCATGGTCTAATCATGTGGAATTTGGACCACCGCTGAATTAATACTATATCGAACTGTGGGACCTAAGTAGTGTACGGGCTACTTTTAGTTGTTCGAAAATTAATGGGGCAGTTGGTCAGGTAAGGCTCAGTAGCGTCTCAAGTTCTACATCGTGAGAGATTTACATTTATTAAGTGCAWRGAATTCGCATAAGTTTGCWATTACTTGGTTTATGCATTGAAATGTTTTGTGCATATGAAAACCCRTGAACTCACCAACTCTTTGTAGTTGACCTTDTTTTATTTTCATGSTTTTCAGGATTTAAGTAAAGTTGGTTATGTTTTGGGAGCATACTCGTGGCAAGATCGATTAAAGTCTGAAATTGAAGTATTTTGAGAAAAGTGTATTCAGTTCTAATTTCAGTTATGTCGATAAACTTGTTTTGTTTTTGAACAACTGAGAATGGTGTTATTCATTAACTGTTGCTATGACTCGCTTGCCTGTTACATCTCGTGTTTCCGCTTTAGCGGGGTGTGACACGTTATGACGCCATGGTGAAAGGATGGCTCACAACGGCCATGGAAAAGTAATTCGAAACAGTGTGAAATACGCGAGTACTGCCAGTGAGATCTGGAGTGACCTACTGGAACATTTTGGGAAGGAAAGTGCCCCTAGGGCATATGAATTAAGACAAATTCTCACTGGAACACAACAAGGAGGCGCCTCGGTTTCTGCCTATTACACGAAGTTGCACAGGCTTTGGGATAAGATGCAGGCTGTTCTTCCAATTCCACATTGTACATGCAATGGTTGTACATGTGATGTTGGGAAGAAGATGGTGGAACTCAGG